TACAGGGCGCTCATATTATAAGGTAAGGTTATAAAAACCATCTTTTAAGATCATTTTAGTGAAAGTTTCATGCTTCAAGGCGTACCATTCACTGCTCAAATACTAAAAAACCTGCTTCCATTGAAGATATAAAGGGCGCTCATATTATAAGGTAAGGTTATAAAACCACCTTTTAAGATCATTTTAGTGAAAGTTTCATGTTCCTATCTCATAGAATTTAAGAACAATGATGAATAAATCATTTTCGAGCAAAATTTAAATGGCCGGCTGAATATATTACCGCAGGAGACGCAGCCGCGGAATTTAAATTACTGTGTCAAAGGGTTAATGACAGGCAAATGCTATGGGATTAAATCAGGCCATGACTGCTTCCTTCCATGCCCTCTACAATATATCACTCACAAATCATTCCAACTTTCCACGCTATGTGATATCAGCTACTAACAGCATTGTAAAACAAATAAAGGATAAAGGACACAGAGGCTGAATGAAACTTCCTTTATGCAATGATTAAATCCTTGGTGTTATAGTCCTATCTTTACCTACAGGTTTTGTTAAATAATTAACTGACTGAGTCATTTATTATTATTTACTGGTACAAGCTTTAAATTGTAGACTTTAGGTAAATACTTCATTTTACTTCTAGAATGAATGTGTGCTTTGTTCTGCATTCAGTTCTGTCACTCATGTAACACAATACAGAAAAGAAGTTTCTAGTAGATTCTGAAACCAGGACATTTATGAACTAGTAATCTGTCTTGCAGTAGGCACAGAAAAATCTGCATGCAACAGGGTACTGGAACAGTCTAGATAAGCCATTAAGGGGTGACGAATGACACTATCTCAATAGGTCACATATTTCTCTTTCTCTCTCTTTCTGTGCGCATGGGTGGGCATATTCTGAATGTTTTTCTTTTTCTATCCTGTGATGCACTGATAACCATCATCTAGCACAAGTATTAAGACACTTCAGAATGAAGGCTCTTATTCTCTTTTCATCCATACTCCTAATAACTCAAGAAGTGAGAATGTTATATGACCACTGATGCTCATTTAACTCACATCAAAATTAGAAGTAAAGGCATACTATAAAATGTACATTTGTGCAAATTCTGAGAGAACATAAAAGTACTTGTTCCAGCAAAAAAAAAAAAAAAGATATTCTAAACACCAATACCACTGTGGGATGTCAATGCATGAAGAGACAATCACTTGTTGAACTGTTCTATAATATTTATTACAGTTGCATAGTATACACAGACGAACTTGAATTTGAAGAATTGAAGAATAACAACAACAACAGTGAACTCTGTAATGCCTTGAGGGCCTTTTATGGCTGAAACATGTAGTGTAGAAGAAAAGAAGACAAAAGAACTACAATAAATTGTTGCACTTAGGACGGAGTTTATGTCATACATTGTGTAGAGCGAAACAGGATGCTTAAATATAATACTGTAAACCTTATTCCTGTATGATAAAGGTAAAGAGCATATTTTCTTTCCAATAATATTACTATAATGTAAGTAAAATGTGTATCAATAAGCTTCATGAAGTAATGTACATACTACGATGTTTAAAAAGATGGAAAAAACCAAAGATCTTCTGCAATTTAAACAGACATATTTATAGGGTTGAGAAAATAAAATATGACTGATTTGTGTCACAAAGCCTAAGTTCTCAGTCAGAGTTTTCCTTTTATTTCAATGAAGAGTGAATATAATCATCAACAAGGCACTGAATGTGATCAGTGGAGAACCAAACCCAGGAAAAGTCTATGGTTGAAGGGGGGGAAATGTAAGCTTCTGAAAATGCATGTTAGAACAACCACTGTCCTAATGGCAGTAAAACACTTGAACTACCTGCATATCAAAGTATGTGTAGCTACACTACTGATTTATCTGTTGCCAGAAACAGATGCCAACATATACCCCATTCACAGGATGCTTCCCACCTGGCTAGCAATAGGTGGTCAACATGTTATTCCTACCAGCTTGGCATGTGTTTACATTCATTTCTGAATGAGGTATATTAACAACATCAAAGTACCTGTGGGTAGAGGAATCGTTGGTTGCCTTGCTGCATGACATGAGCACGCTCACCCTGCCAGTGCTGATAGTGCTGTAGTCTCTCAGAATTGGGTCTCTGCCATGTTGTGGTGCGTGTGTTATGATCCACATAATAGATCCTCCCTCTGGGATCTCGTCTGATCTCCCAGCCAGAAGGCAATGGTTGTGGTCTTTCCCATGACGTGCTTCGTGTATTATGATCTACATAATACCTACGCCCATAGACATCATACCTCATCTCCCATCTGAAATAATACAAAACAAACTCTGTGGTTTTAGTCCACAAGCAAACCATACCNAGTTTTTATGGCTTTATAATCGCGGGTATTTAAATTAATTCCGTACTGCTGCCCTTACCGGAATTTAAATGCACGTAGGATAAAGGTTAATGGAATGAGGGTGTCGCG